GCCCCTTCCCCCTGCCTGTCCGAGCCTGGGGCCTGAGAGCCGGCATAGGGGCCCTACCTCCACCTCCGTAGAAGCCCTTTTGCAATGGCCGGCCGCCCCCCACTGCAAAGTCCGTGCCCCCCCCACCCAGCTGTCACTGCCAACCATGGCACGTATGACCGCTGGGGCCCCACATGGGTCCCTGTCACCACCCCACCCCCTCCTTTCCTGACCCCTCTCCCCAGATTCTAATCCCCCCCACTTCCTCACTCACCTCCCTCACATATGGGAGCCACTGCCTGACCCTTACCCAGGCCTCTACCAGTGCGGGAGTGCTGTGGGGTCCGCCTCCACCCCGCAGGGACCTTGGCCACTTGATGACCACACCCCTCCCCCTTCCAGCCCCCGCCATCTTTCTCCTGCCCTTCCCCTCTTCACCTTATCCACAGTACCCCCTAGGCCCACCCTACCCCCCCCCCTTTGAGCATTTCCCAGAGCCACCTCCAGCATTGTTTTTCCCTTCTGTGTCACTTGGCATGGGGGACAAGATCTTTCTGGGTCCCTCTGCCCCTCTTGCATCCTGTCACTCTGACTCTCTGCTTGTACTCCCTCCTCCAAGCAAGCGTCTGTCCCTGGCTGGGGTAGCAGACTGTTTATGAACCTAGAGAATGTCTTTTGGGAGCGTCAATGCTTCCAAAGCCAAGTTTGAGCTGCTCTTGCTAGGATCCATTGCTCCTCTTTCCTGGATTGGGGGTGGGGGGTGCCCCCATAGCCCCCTCCCATCTCCTACCCTGCTGTGGGCTGTATGCTCCTTGGTGGGCCCCTCAATAAATGGTGTTTCACAACCGAGGCTCCTCATTCACCTAGTCCCTGGGGCTTCTTCACCTGTTCCTGGCTCCTGACTGGGAATGAAGTGTCCGGTTGGTGAAGCTCACTTCGCCTTGAACTGGGATGATCAGAAAGAGGACTTGGGGAGGGGGGGGAGGTAGTCAAGGAGAGTAATGAGTGACATCTAGTGATTTGCTTTGCCAAGGGACAAATAGATTCTCTATAGACCAGGGCTCAGAGAGAGGCTTTTCCTACTCCCTAGACCTCAGCTATGTTGGCCTTTCCCATCTTGAGAGAGAGAAAGATTCTGTGTTTGAAAACACCATCAGAAATGGCCTTGAGCCCCCTCCCCAGTTTCCCCCAGCTCTTAATTGTTGTCACTGAAGCCCTAAAAGTGGGCCTCAGCTGGGAATCCCCTTCCAGTCACCCAGAAATATTCCAAACTGAAAAGGAAACCACATCCAACTATGCCCTTCCCAGTTCTTGGTCTCAAACCTGAGTGTCGGAGTCCCAGAATGCCCCCCACCCCCGAGAAATATGAAAAAGCTGCGAAGGCCTGGGAATTTCTGCCTGCACACAGTCAGACGGCAGGACTCTGAGTGGCAGAGCTTGAAGAGGCCCGATATGTTACCAATGGGCGGGGGACAGGAGCACAAATGCCCGTAGTTGAGTGCTTGATGACAGAGGAGCAGGTGGGCAGTGTCCAAAAACAGCCTGGGCATGAGCTTGGAGGGGACTAGGCAGAGGGGACAGCCAGGCCCGCAGCAGGTGAGGCAGGCTGGGAGGTGGAAGGTGGACGCAGGCAGCTATCTATTGCAATGGCTGGGTTGAAAGTTGGGGAGATGACATAGTCCTGGAAGACCTTCAAGGCATTCCAAATGCATGCGGTGGGGGGCGGATAGGGAGCCACATAGGGGAAAAGATCCCCAGAAAAAGATCAGAGGCTCCGGAAGGAACTGCTAATTCTCTCAGTGCGCAGGCCAGACACTCAGGAGTGAATGATCACAATGAGATAGAGCCACTCTGTGGGGCAGCTAGGACGTGCCAGGCTGGAGGCTCCATAGACATATCTGCTCTGGTAATTTTCCTAGTGGGCTCTTATTCGAATTTCCCAAATGAGCTATCTGAGTTTGATGTGGACAACATCATGGGGACAGGATTCACATCCAGATCTATCCACCAGCAATCTTCCTGGACCCCAGAATTTCCCCATTTTTAAAAAACTATCTTTTTAGTTGTTGATAAACCTTTATTTATTTATATGTGGTGTTGAGAATCGAACCCAGTGCCTCACACATGCCAGGCAAATGCGCTACTGCTGAGCCACAGCCCCAGCCCCTTATTTTTTTTTTTTATTTTAAAAAATTGTCTTTTATAAGACAGGGTCTCATTAAGTTGCCTAGGCTGGCCTCGAACTTGCTATCCTCCTGCCTCAGTTTCTGAGTTGCTGGGATTACAGGCATGTGCCACCATGCCTGGCTCTTCTTTTTTGGTGCTAGAGATTGATCCCAAGGGTGCTTAACCACTGAGCCATATCCCCTGCACCCCTTTTTTTGTGGTGCTGGGGATTGAACCCAGGGCCTTGTGCATGCAAGGCAAGCACTCTACCAACTGAGCAATATCCCCAGCAGTTCCTGCCTTTTTTTAATATTTATTTTTTAGTTAGAGGTGGGCACAATGTCTTTATTTTACTCTATATGGTGCTGAGGATCGAACCCAGTGCCTCATGCATGCTAGGCGCATGCTCTGTCTCTGAACCATAGCCCCAGCCCTCCTCTGCCCTTTTTAAAAATTTTTTTTATTTTGAGATAGGGTCTCACTAAGTTGCTTAGGGCTTCACTTAGTAGTTGCTAAGGTTGGCCTCAAACTTGTGATCCTCCTGCCTCAGCTTTCCGAGTTGTGGGATTACAGGTATATGCCGTACACCCAGGTGCCAATTGACATTCTTAAACCGACCTCCAGATTTTTATTCTATTTGCATGCTGTATATACTTTTTTTAACAAGATGTACTTTTTTAAAAAAAATCTTTATTTTTTATTTATTAGTTTTTATGTGGTCCTGAGGATCGAACCCAGGGCCTCATGCGTGCGAAGCAAGCGCTCTACCACTGAGCCACAACCCCAACCCCCTGTGTATATTTTCTTAATCTAAAATAATAAAAGCCAGGCATAGGGCACCCACCTGTAGTCCCAGCTACTAAGGACACTGAGGTGAGAGAATCTCTTGAGTTGAGGAGTTCAGACCAGCCTGGGCAACATAGCAAGACCCCATCTCAAATAAAATAAAATAAAACATTTACTCATTTCTGTTCAGAGGAAAGCTATGGTCCTATCCTAGGGAATAATATAAATGAAATCATAGAATTGCTATGCCAGTTACATTCTCTTTGATACACATTAAAATACAATGTAACTAGATAAATGAAACATCTCTAAAATAATTTCGTGTTCTGCCAGTGGGACCATGGCATGCTTTGGAAAACAGGCTGAAGCCGTATATCCTCCCAGAGAAGGAACTCAGTAAGGAAGCAAGCCCCTCTCTGCTTCAAGCCACTTTGATTCTGAGAGGATGGAGTCACACAAAATTTGCCCTCTTGTAATCAGGGTGGGGCGGGGGCGGGGGCAGTAGCCAAGCCATCCTGCAGAGGGCACCTGCATTTCATCTGGCAGATGCCAGCCCAGCTTGGGTTAGGAAGATGCCCAGCCTTAGTAGGTAGTAATTAGGCATCCTGTGCCCCCTGTGTGCCATCTCTGTGCCAAGGCAAGAGGGTAAAGATGTAGAATGGCATCAGGTGGAGTGGGATGGGGGAAATCTGCACCCAAAGATGACCAAGTCATTGGCAGGGGCCAGGGTGAGAAGCTGAGGGCTGAAGGAATTGAGAGGGCAGAACCCCAGGAGGCTTCCAGGACAGACAGCCAAGTGGGGCTCAGGTCTGAGCTGACACTGGCTGGAAGACACCCCTGGGAGTTGGCCCACAGGGAAGGAGAAGCTTCCTAGACCCCAGAGACAAGGGAATCCAGGCACTGAAAGAAAGATACACACAGGAGGTCCCTGGATGGGAAGAACTGTTGCCCTCTAACATCCTACAGAGGCTCAAGAGGGCCAGAAATCTTCTGTGCATTGGCAGTTGTATGGGTGCCAAGGAGGTTCTGGCAAGACAGCTTTGCCTTTAGCCCAATTGGGCCAATAGCAATTCAGAGGGTTCTATCTACCCTTTCCCTGTACCCACTGGCCTCCAGATTGGGTTTCTTCCTGCTCCTATCCCCACCCCCAACTGCCTGTCTCCCTCTCCAGGCAGGGCTCTAGGGATGGGCAGCCAAGCTGGTAAGGCAGGTCTCCTGAGCCTTCCCAGCCACCGTAGTCCTAGTGCCCTGAGAGGAAGACTGAGTGATGGCTTCCAACTCCAACGATGGTGAGGCTGAGTCTGTTGCTATAGCAACTTCCTAGACGCTCTGCCCCTCAAGTCAGGGAGGGGATGCAGTTGGGTTTGGGGGCGCAGGTGGAAAGCAGTGTGTAGACCCTGGCTGTCCTGGAAACCCTTCCCATACTAGCCCCCTTGGGCTGTGGGGCTTGGGGAAGAGCAGGGGGTATGAATGGCCCAATTCAGAAGAGGGGATGGTCCCCCCAGAGTGGGGGTCCAACTCAGACTGAGACAGAGGGGCGGCCAGCCGAGTGTTGGGATTCGGTTCAGGTGAAGATTGCAGCTCAATGTTGGGGTCCAACAGAGACTCGGGGATCATCTAGTCCAGGATGGAGGGTCCAGCTCAGAATGGGGCTGGGTCCAGTCCAGAGTAGAAGGTGGTACGGCCCAGAGCAGGGGATCCAGGAGGATTAGGCCTGGATTGGGGCTCCCAGCCCAGGTTGGGCACCTGCCCCAGAGTCCCCAGGACTGCCGGGAAGGGCGGAGGTTACTGTCTTGGGGAGAGAGGGCCCCAAGGTGGGCTCCTTCCGCGGGAGTCCCTGGTCCCTTGCTCAGTTTGATGTCCTGCTGTTGTAACTGCCCAGGACAGATTCAAACCCAGGACAGATTTCTAGATTTCCGCCTCTTGCTGTGGCCCTGGCTTTTCAAGGGATACCTGGGTTTTTCTCTGTGAGTCCAAAGCAAATCCCCACCAGAGCGGAGGCAGTGGCACCCACCACTGCCCCCAGTGTGGGAGGGGTGGGCAAGGCAGCAGCCAGCTAGGTTACCCACCTAAGCCACTTCCTGTCGCCAGCAGAGAACAGAGTGTGGGGTACCCGCAGGGAGCCTGCCACTGACCCTCCGCTGCTTTGGGGATCTGGAAAGGAGGGGGAAGATAGTCAAGGCTGCTTCCCCTCCCCCACCCCGGGGTTTAGCCATTCATTTCCGGTTTGGACTTTCATGGCCCTGAGCAGAGCCAAGCACAGGGCAAGGTTTGACAGAGGCCAAGGACATCCCGGGACGCTGTTCCCCTCTCCGCCCCCACATAGGAACAAGACAAAGAACCAGATGTGCCCATTTCTTTCTAGCAGGGTAGCAGGACTTGGGGGCTTCACACTGAAAGGGAACTCGGGAGGAGATAGGGTGACTCCTGCCTCCCTCCACCTTTCTCTCCAGCTGTTCTTCCAGCTAGTTAACAAGCTCTGGGGCTCCTTTAGCCCCCAGGGAGTCTCTGCCTGTTGCTTAAGCCAGGGCCTTAACTCCTTCCCCTCTGCCCAGTGGGCACTGCTCTGGGCACATTGATGGCCTGCCTCCAGTCAGTCTCGTACCCACCCGGGGAGGCAGGGCCTGGCATCTTGGGAGCAGTGAAAGTCCCTAGAAGGGGAAGTTAGCTTTAACACCCCGCCCCAGGACAGGCAGGCCGGCCAGAGGGACACCCTCGGGAGAATCTTCCCACCTCCTCCTGCCAAGGAGAGCCTCTGCAGACCTCGGCCAGCCTGGAGCAGGTACCTTTAAATGCCTCCGTGGCAACCAGCTCCTCCTCCCTGGTCCCCTGAGGCCTTCCCAAGGAAGCCAGCTCAGAGGCTCTGCATTTTCCTGGTTCCCCAGCAAAGGGAGGATTCCAAGGAGAGACCAGGGAAGCGTAGGATGGATCTGGGGTCCAGCAGCAGCCAGGGTGGGGGCTCAGAGATCACCTTCCAGTTGTGGCTGCAGCTGCTCCTCTGGGCCCACCTGGTTCTCCGTTTCCTGGGCTACCTGCGTCACAACTTCCAAGGACCTAAGCCGCAGCCAGCACCCTGAGCCTCCCTGACCAGGCCCGATGGGCCCCAGGTCACCCTATCCCATCCAGCCCCTATGCCATCCTGTGCCAGGAGAAACAGGAAGCAGAGGTGAGTGTGGGGGCTTCTGTCTGAGGCCCAGCTCCATGAACCCTCTTATCTCCCTGCTCCTCCTGGCATTGACCCCTCCTACCTGTCCCCAAGCCTGACGAGCCAGCAGGGCCCGGTGGCAGAGAGAGGAAACAGCCCAGGCCCTCCCAGGCTTCAGGATGCCAAAGAAGGTGGGCCAAGCAGCTCATGGAGCCACACAGCAGGACACTAGCAGCAGCCAGAGCCACCGAGTTGGGGAAGCCCAGGGATGGCTGGGAGCAGGAAGCAGGACCGCAGCCCAGCCCTTCTGTCTCTGGTGCAGGCCCAATACAGCACCCTCTGCCCGCCTGCAATCCAGAATTCTTTGTGGATTGTTTAGAGGTCTCCAGGGAAGGCATGATGTCTCTGAAAGGTTGTGCTGGTGAAGGCACCAGAAGTGTGCAGCCCCCAGGCTCAGAGAGGTCTCTTGGGTCTGTCGCCCCATCAGGCAGAGCCTAGGGGCCACAGCCATTCCCTGCCCGCCCGTCTCGGCCCACTCGCCTTTTGCAAGGTCTTCCTAGCCAGCAGGCTCCACTCTAGCCGCCATTCTTCTAGTCCCATGAAGAGCTTTTCTCTCTGAATACTGTTGGAGAGTCTTGGGGACAGTGGGGAATGGTGGCTACTCAGCAGGCCATGTGGAATTCCTAGCGGGCAGATGACAAGCAAGGTCAAAGAGCAGGATTGTAGGGCCCCTTAGGTTGAGGATACCTCTGCACCCAGTAATCCAGTGTCTGAGTTGGTAGTAAAGCAGATAGTCTCCTGGGCAGTGGGTCAGACAGATAGATGGTCTCAGGACTGATCAATCTTCTCATCTGTACAGTGGGAAGAAGAGCAGCTTAGACCTGGCAAAGTCAGATTTTTAGCATCAAAAACATTTAGCCAGGGCTGGGGTGTAGCTCACCAGAAAAGCACTAGCCTCCCATTCACAAAGCCCTGGGTTTGATCCCCAGTTCTAAAAAAAAGAAAGAAAAGGAAAAAAAGAAAAATACTTAGCCAGGTGTGGTGGCACATATCTGTAATTCTAGCGACTTGGGAGGTTGAGGCAGGAGGATCACCGGTCTGGGACCAGCCTCAACAGCTTAGTGAGACCCTGTCTCAAATTTTTAAAAATAAAAAGGGCTGGGGATGTAACTCAGAGGTAAAGCACCCCCGAGGTCAATCCCCCATTTTTAAAAAAAAAATTTAATTTTTTTAAAAAAGAAAGAAAAAAAAAAACAAACATTCAGTTCAAGTCTGGCACATAGAGAACAGTGCCTGGCCCTGCACAGTGGTCCCAGGGTGAATCTGTAAGGTCAGAATCCATCAAGCTGTGCCGTGGGGATCTGAGCACTCAGCCAGGTCTGGTGGCATGTGCCTGGAGTCCCAGCTATTTGGGAGGATGAGGGAGGAAGATCACGTGAGCCCAAGAGTTCGAAACCAGCCTGGCCAACACAGCCAGACATCATTTCTTTATTTTTCCAGTCGGGGGTGGGGGATTTAGCCCAGAGGCACTTCACCACTGAGCCACATCCCCAGCCCTTTTGACTTTTTATTTTGAGACAGGTTCTCGCTGAGTTGCTTAGGTCTTCGCTGAGTTGCTGAGGCTGGCCACGAACTTGCGATACTCCTGCCTCAGCCTCCCAAATCGCATACACTGCCTCTGGCAGACATCATTTCTTCAAAACATTTGAACTTTCAATGAATCTCCCTGTATTTTCTACCCACATTTCAAAAATACTTCAAAAAATCGTAGATGACATTTTCCTGGCATGAACCGCTCCCCAATGCTGGCCACTGCGCAGCCCCCACTCTTCACAGCCAACCTGCGGGCTCATGGCTCTTGTTATTCCAATTATTTTTTAACTTTAGTTGTAGATGGACACAATACCTTTATCTTATTTGTTTATTTAGTTTTATGTGGTGCTGAGGATCAACCCAATGCCTCACATGTGCCAGGCAAGGGCTCTACCACTGAGCCATCGCCCCAGCCCCTTATTACTCCCACTTTACAGGTGGGGAAGACTAAGGCCTAGAGAAGTGAAGTCAGTTGTCCAGAATCACTCAGGGACCACTCAGGCATCTGGACCCAGTCTCACCCCCAAGTCCTGGCTCTTAACCGCTTGGCTGGGTTGCCTCTCGGTCATTAGGGGAGCAGTTCAAGTCTCAGTGTCCTAGGCCGTTAAATGGGAAAATGGATAAAAGAAGGATTGTGGAGTGAGTCGAATGAGAAAGTAAGACAAGACAGCCGGCGCCCGCGTCCACCAGGGAGGTGTCTGTTGGGCGGATGTGACGTTGGCCTCAGGGTACTGTGGACGGTCGCGGGGGCATCCAGTAAGCCTTCCTCTGAACCAACACTGGACTAAGGCCCCACGATTGGCAAAGACAGGTACAGGGCCAGCTGGGGGCCAAGGTGACAGCTGAGCCCCCCAAGGACGCCTGCTACCCGAGCCTCAGAGGCCTCCACCCCAGGCCCGGCCTCCCCAGAGAAGGGGCCAGAGGAGCAGCCAGACCCAAAGGCTATAAATACCTCGGCTGGCTGGCGTCGTCCCTGGCCAAGGAATGTTGGTCAGAACTGGGGCGGGCAGGGGTGAGCTGGCCCTGGCGTTTCTCCCTGTCCCCCTAGGTGCAACCCCTGAGTCTCCCTGTGCCCATTTTGGATGGACTGGAGGCAGGTTCCCACCTCTCTGTAGAAGGGGGTACCCAGGCCCCAGCCCATTTCAGGATCCCCAAAAGTTGCCTTCGAGCTCAGACCCGGGTGCTCAGAGGTCCTGGGACAAGGTCAGGCTCTGGCTTTAAGAAGGTGCACCTCACTTTCCACATATCCCAAAGGTAACCCCATCCGCCCCCCGAGGCTGGAGTCTCCATCTAACCCTCCCCTCTCTTCCTTTCAGTGAAAGAGTTCTTAGCCAAAGCCAAAGAAGATTTTCTTAAAAAATGGGAAAATCCCGCTCAGGTAAGCCCTTCCAGGTACAGAGCCCTGCGAGAGTGGGCCCAGGCCGCCCCCACCATCCCTGCCACGTACTTGGAAGTTTAGGACCCCGGGGGTGCGGGGTGGGAGGGCTCCAGACCTGCCCCCCTCCTTCCGCACATGCCCAGGGTTCTACCTGATTCCCCCCTCAGGCCCCCCCACCCCACCCACCCTTTCCCTGGCAGTCCTGCTCCCCCACCCCCACACAGCTGCCAGCAGCTCCTGGGCCCCAGGCCAGGGCCGGATCTGGCCCCTGCCACCGCCTGGAGGAATGTGCCCGCCACCATCTTGCTGTCCAGCCCCCTGTCTTCACCCCCCTCACTCCACCAGCTCCCAGGGCCCCCTCTGCCGGCAGCACAGGGCACACCCCAGACCCTTGTCCAACAGGCCGCAGGGAAGAAGTGTTCCTGACCCCCGGCTCAACCCTTCTACCCACAGAACACAGCCCATTTGGATCAGTTTGAGAGAATCAAGACCCTTGGGACGGGCTCCTTTGGGCGGGTGATGCTGGTGAAGCACAAGGAGACCGGGAATCACTATGCCATGAAAATCCTCGACAAACAGAAGGTAAGCCCCCTGCCTGCACCCACCCCACCCCCAGGCTGGGCCCATTGAGTTTTTGGTGTTTTTTTTGGTACCAGGGATTGAACCCAGGGATGTTTAACCACTGAGCCACATCCCAGACCTTTT